GAGTGTAATCAATAAGTATTCTTTGTTAATTAAAGCATCATCTTCTGTAATGAAAGTGCTATATCAAGATCTGACAGGCGATGTTTCAAAACCAAATGATGAGCAAAGTAAAGATATTCAAGAGAGGATAAAATTAATGTTAGATACACAAGATCCTGACATAATGATAGATCTGAGAAAAACTATTGGAGAAAGATCAACCAAGTTTGATATATTTTGGGACGAGATGGAAGATTATTTTAATGAAAATTCACCCTCTGTACATGAAAGAAGACATACTACAACTTTGTATATGCCAATTGCTATGTCTGTCAATGATCTTTTACAAACAATTTTAGAAAGATTAAGAAATAAATACAATGGTGATATTCCCCCAGAAATTGAAATACCTTCAAATGAATGGGTAAGGCTGCAGTTTTGGCCCAAAAGTGAATTTGCAAGAAGTAGGAATACAGGAAGGTTTAGAATTAGATATAAAGTCCAGGCAAGACAGCTTCGTAAATTTCATGTTGATGCTCATTACTGTGCTGCACTCTGGAAATACTTCCGTGAATTCTCAATCAAATTTAAAGATCATACTACTTTGATTTGTGCAGATGATAAACACAAAGTTCCCATAGGTGAATTTGTTGCTACTTCAACAGGAATACGAAATAAACAGTCAATAACACCTTTAGATGGAATACTAAATTCCAGTGACCATGATTTCACAAAATTGTCATTAACACCTTCAGTTTCTTTGTTTGTTGATATTCCTAATGAAATCACAGAATCATTTTATAAAGGTCAAGTATATGTAGCTTATAAGGATACAATCCTACAACCAAGTTCAGCTCTACGCCATTCTACTGAATTTTACAACAATTATTGTGCTCAGTTCCAAAACCATCTTGCAAAACCAAAAATATTGCTACTATATACTGATGGTGGCCCAGACCATCGATGCACATATGGTTCTGTTCAAATATCATTACTAGCTTTGTTTTTAAAAGGAAACTTTGATTTTTTAGCTGCTGTTCGAACTGCTCCTTATCACAGTTGGGCAAATCCAGCAGAACGCATGATGTCAATATTAAATCTAGCTTTGCAGGGAGTTGCTTTAAAAAGGGAATCCATGAGTGAATCCTCTGAGAAATATTTTGATAAACTTAAAAATTTATCAGATATACGTATTGGTTCTGAAAAAAATTCTATATTCAAAGAAGAACTAATTGAATCTATGAAAAAAACACAAGATTTTCTTAATGAAAGAACTTCACATCTTTCATTACATGATACAAAATTTAGAAGTAGCTCACCTGCACTAGAATCAGATATAGAAACATTATTTGCATCCATCTTATTAATTGAAGAGCAGATTACTATCAATGATACTACATCTGTAGAATTAAAAAGATTCCAAAAGCTTAAAAATTTTATGAGTACTCATTGTCAAATTAGACAGTATTCTTTTCAAGTTAAAAAATGCAATAGGAATGAGTGCAGAGTTTGTTTACCAATTGAATTACCAATTGAAGTATATAATAATTTACACTTTTTACCTGATCCTGAACCATCAATATCAGATCCTGATCACTACAAGGAATTTTCTAGCATATATGGTACTCAAACTTCAGAAAAGTTTCGTCCAAGTAAATTAGAACAACCAGAAGCAAGTAATTTGCCACAAGGAATTTTTAATAATAACCGAATTCGAGAGTTTGTTGAATGTGATTTTTGTGGAAAGCCTCGATGTATTTATAGTATGAAAGCTTTGACAGAACAACAGATTTCTGCATTAAGGCTCAAAATTGATGAAAATAACTACACTTGTGGAATAGAAGGTTGGTCACAGATGCTTTGTGATTCTCCAATTGAAAATGGATATTATTCATCTTGCAAAAAAAACCACCTATTTGCTATTATTGTGGCAGAAGCAATTTATTAGTTGAGATAAACAATGATTTGCTTAACATGCATCAAATTGTATACCCTCTTTGTTCTAATTGTGAACTTGCTGGTAATTCATTTCATACTTGGGGGAAAAAAAAACATAAAGTATCTAAAAAAAGAAAAATAAATTAGTCATATAAATTAGTGAATCTAATAATTATTGCATTCATAATATGTGCAATTTTTTGTTCTTCATTAAAATGTATTTTTTTTTTACAATTCATTCTTCATGATATGTACACATAAGATTGTTGAAATAATTTTTTCTTTTAATCAAATTTTTTTTGTGATCATGTAAAATTTCCTTTTATGTAAGTTTTTTGATGATCAAACCGTTAGTTTAAATTCAAATTTCTGAAAAAAATGAGGGGGGGATTGATTTTAAACAGAACTTCAAGTTTGAACGGCCTAATTAATTTTTAAACATAATAAACAAAGTTGTTTTTAGCCGTCAAAATATTTTTATACATAAAAAAATGTGATGTGATAGATACAGAGATAAAGACACATTATAAAAAAAATAATAAGGAAATTAGAATTGTGCAAAAATATGGGTTTACAATTTTTTTTGCAAAAATCCCTTTCATAGATTGTGTGAATTTAACATCTCTGTTTTTTGTAAATAAATAAAATTCAATGTCATTATAACAGTAACAGTAGTGACTTGTTCTCCCTTATCCATATTTGAATATTTGAAATGATATTTCAATTCTTATTATTCAAATATCCATTCCCTATTAATACTATAGAGTTTTCCCAGTCCTTATATAATATTAATTACTTTTCTTTTCAAAAAAAAATGGATCTAGTTACATATAATAATAAAATAATAATGTATAATATTAATTACTTTTCTTTTTCAAAAAAAAAAACGGATCTAGTTACGCAACTAGTAAGGAAAAAAAAATAGAAAATCACTATATATATTATTATTATTACATTATTACATTATATTAGATTATAATACTGATTACTTTTCTCTTTCAAAAAAAAAACGGATCTAGTTACGCAACTTGCAAGAAAAAAAAAAAGAAAATCATTATATATATTATTAATATTACATTATTACATTATTACATTATATTACATTATAATATTAAATAGAAAATATTTGTATTTTTCATATTTAAAAATAAAAAATGGTCT